AGTGTGCATCTGGCCTATAAAGAGTCAACCAATGCTGATGACACTCGTGGGCTGACAGTGGCCACAGGAGCAGAGTGGAAGAAGGCTCGGGCTCAAATGCAGTTAGAGATTGCGAAAGAGAGAGCAACGGATGTGTGGCAAGACTTTGTTTGTCTTACTGCTAGTGCTTTGTTTGAGCCGACTAGCTATAAGGAAGCCGTGCAAAGTGATGAAGCCAAGCAGTGGAAAGGTGCAATGGATGCCGAGTACGAGGCCTTGGTGAAGAACGGCACCTGGAAGTTGGTGCGAAGAACCAAGGACATGAAGGTCCTGAACAACCGTTGGGTATTTCGAGTGAAGTATCATGCAAACGGAGACATTGACAGGTTCAAGGCAAGGTTCGTCATCAAGGGCTTCATGCAGATTTATGGTATTGATTTCTTTGAAGTTTACTCGCCTGTGGTGCGATTGGAAACTCTACGCATCTTGCTAACGCTGGCAGCCATTTGGGACTACGAGGTAGACCATATGTACGTCACCACTGCCTTCCTGAATGGAGGCATCGACGTGACGGTTTACATGGAGCAGCCAGAAGGCTATGAAGTGAAAGAAAAAGAGGATTTTGTGTGTGTGTTCTGCTGAAAAGCCTCTGCGGCTTGAAGCAGGCTCCTCGTGTGTGGTTCAGACTGCTGATAGAGTTCCTAGAGAGCGAGGGCTACACGCTAATGAAGTGTGAGGCATGCGTGGCAGTGAAGGTTGTCGATGGGTGGTTGGTGTTCATCTCTATCTACGTTGACGACCTGATACTGTTTACGCCGACAAAAGCCATGATGAAAGTCATGAAGCAAATGCTTTTCAGACGCTTCGTGATGAAAGACTTCGGGCCGATTCATTATATTCTTGGCTGGGAGATTACACGCAACAGGCAAGAAAGAACGATGTTCATCAATCAAAAGAAGTAAACCAAGAAAGTATTGCAGCGATTTGACATGGCCAAGTGTAATGGATGCAGAGTTCCCAGTGATGTGAATTTAAAGTTGTCAAAGTCAATGTGTCCTACAACTAATGACGAACGAGAGCTGATGAAGACCAAGCCATATCGAGCGGTCATCGGAAGTTTGATGTATCTCATGCTGGGCACTCGGCCAGATTTTGCATTTATGGTTCGTGAGTGCAGTCAGTTCTTGGAGAACCCAGGCATTCTACACTGGCGTGCAGCGAAACGTGGACTGCGGTACCTGAAGGAGACAGTTGAATGGGGATTGTGCCTTGGTGGCGTGCAGGAGAGTCAAAAGTTGACGCATCACCTTCAGGCCTTTGCCGATGCTGACTTTGCGAATCGTGTTGATGATCGCAAGTCAGTTGCAGGATATTTGACGCAGTTTTGTGGTAGTACGTTGTCGTGGTGCAGTCAGATGGAGAGGACTGCGCCATTGCACACGATGGAGGCTGAATATATGGCACTAAGTCTGCTAGTGCAGGAAGTTGTGCATCTGCGCCAGATGTTGAGAGAGTTAAAAGTGAAGCAAGTGAAACCCCCTGATGTGTTCGTGGACAACGAAAGCGCGAAGAAGCTCGCGAAAAACCCTGAGTTTCACAGTCGAACGAAACACATTGATGTTCGTCATCGCTTTT